GTGTAAATACCTGCATGGTTGGGTTTTACTTTCCCATCCTTAACATCTTGCTGGTACTTTGGGCAGTTTCGCTTCCAGTGCGACTTTTCGTGGCAATAGAAGCATTCAACCTCTTTAGGGTTAGCAGAAGGAGTGACGAAACCTTTCTTGGTTCCACTTGAAGAGGAGCCATCAAGAGACTTTCCCTTGGTACCCTTCGAAGGGCTCTTCCTCTTCTTTACTTTGCCTTGCCCAATTGCCAAGACAGGGGTCGTGGTAGGAGTAGGATTAGTAACAACCGACTTAACTTTAAGACCACTTTCCGCTGTCTTCAAAAGTCCTTGAAGTTTGCTAAGTGTAACTTCCTCCTTGTTCATGTGGTATGTCATGCGGAATTGATCATAACACGAAGGTAGGGAGTGCAAAATGATATCAATTGCCAACTCCTCTAGGAAGTTCACATTCAGTTTCAGCAAACGGTCCACATACCTTTGTATTTTCTGCATGTGGCCCGTGATGGGTTCACCATCCTTCATCCTGGTTGTTATCATGGAGGAGATGATCTCATATCGCTCTTGACGAGCACTCTGATGGTAGTGGTCCATCAAATCCTGGTGCATCTCAAAAGGATAGTAGTCCTCATAGGACTTTTGGAGCTCGGCTGTCATACTGGCCAACATGATGCATGCCACTTTGGTAGCATCTCTTTCATGGGCCTGATATTCAGCGATCTCCTCAGGAGTAGCAGATGGCTCGAGTTCTTTAAGCTCCTTGTCGAGTACATATTCCTTGTCCTCATACCGAGTGACCATCCTGATGACTCTCCCACAAAGGTTCATGAGAGAGAGGGAGTCAGTAGGGTATAAGCCAGAAGCAGCATTGTTGGAAGACATATGAAAAGAAGAAAGACAAGTTTAGATTAGATATAAAGATAATCCTTAATAAAACACACAAATGTAATATTAAGGCTAGGACCCAACACAATATTTTATAACTTAGAAGAGGGATGACGTAATCCAAGCTATAAAATATTTGAAGGTAGGTGAATGACGATTCACCAATTTCCACCATGAAAAACGAAATGAATTATTAGGTTTTAATTGATTTTTGAAACTCCTAGATTCTTTTAGATTCATTGAACTTTTCAATTCGAGTGTGCTCTTCAGGTTTTGTGACTAGGATGCCGAGGATCACAAAACAAGGTGTGAAGTAACCATGCAAATTACTTGGGATCCTTAATCTTTACCCCTCAATCGATGTGCCGGTTAACCACACGCGCTCCATCGATTCTATGATAAATATTAAGTTACCATTTGCCTACATTGTTAAGTCCAGGTTAGTGTGTCGGTTAACCACATACGCTCCACTAACGACTTAATCAAAGTGCAATGTGTAATTTCATGGGTTAGCACCTTATTCACATTTTCTAAAGTAACTAAGATTGGGAATTTATAAAAACATTGAGTTACTTTATTTTTCATCATACTTTTAATGAAGATTTATAAGTCCTTGTCCTACCCGTTCGGCTAACGACCCTACACCAGTCAAGGAAGCGCTGGGTGAGAGTGGAGACCCATTAAGCTGCCATTTTATAGGCAACAACCTTATACCCCCTTTATAGACCGGCTTCGTGAATGAGGCCTACTAACTGTAATACGACTTGTTCTTATATATATATATATATATATATATATATATATATATATATATATATATATATATATATATATATATATTAACTTATAATATTATAAAGTATAAGGGTTGAATTTTAACTTTTAAAATTCTAGGGGTTGGAATTAAAGTTTGGTTGGAACTAAAGTTTTTAAAGTGACTTTACATGTTCCAAAACTTGAGGGTAAGTTTTGTAACTTTCTCAACTTTTCATCTTTGATAACTTATGAGTTAATGGATTATTAAAATGAGAGACTTTTCATTTTATGTAACCTATGTGTTTAATAATGGACTTTAAAAGAGTGACTTTTGGTAATCCATAACTTGACGACAAATTATGGATTCCATTAAAACACATAATGATCAAGAATTAAACTACCAAGCAAGTTACAAATAATTCCTATGATCTTCTAAACTCATAAGTTCATGAATGTTCATATAAACAATTTCAAGAATCATAAATAAACCATATAAAACTTGAAAATTTGATAATAGCTATTGAAAATGGATTAGCATAACCATTACACCATCTAAAACAAGTTTTATAACACCAAAATAGTTTAGGGTAATGTTTCTAGTCCATTTCCAGCAGCAAAACTCGAAAATCTGCACTCAGGGGCTCCTACTCGTCGAGTGCAAGAACCTACTCGACGAGTAGGATGAGTTTACTCATGGACTCGTCGAGTCCCCCCATGGACTCGGCGAGTTCATGCTGCAGAGTGCAGAAAAAATGAGTTTTTTCACAATTTTGCATCAAGTATCAAACAAACAAGTCTAGGCTCCGATACCATTGTAGGGTTTTGAGCATTCTAACACTCCTATGGTGTACATGCAACCCTAGAAACCTTGGGTCTATGTTTTATCTATGATACATGCAAAATTGATTTTCCAAGGTTCATAACCTATCTAGCATACATGGGGAACTTTTCAATATAAAAGTTAGTAGGAAATACATACCTTGTAGTAGTTTGGATTCCTTGAAAACCTTGTGAACCTAGCACCTCAAGTGTGATGCCTCAAATGTCTCACACAATACCAAATGCACTTGGAATAACTTAGAGAGAGAAATAAAGAACACTTAGAAATCGGCTAGCCCTCACTTGTATACTTAGTGGCCGATTTTAGTGAATAACATGTAGCTTATATAGTGTGTTACAATTAGGGTTACACCATGTAAACCCTAATTGTCATGACTTTTCATTTCCATCACCCATGGGTTCTATAACCATCATGGAGCATCCATGGAGCATCATGTGGGTTTTAGCCCAACTTGATAATCCATGAAGCATTGGCCCACTATAAAAGTATGGATGATTTACACAATCAACCCATATATTTAATTAGTCTCATTTTGATCACTTAATTAATTCCAAATTAATTCTTGATTAAATAATATTATTAATATATTAGAACTTATAATATATTAATAAACCTTAAGTGTTATTTCTCTCATTTTAGTCTATCCAAATGCATGATGCCATGCAACCCAAATGGACCATGCTAATCGGGTCAAGTACATTCCAGAAATAGTTATGAACTTAGACACCTAATCCAACAGTTTCTATCAGTAAGGCTAGTGATGGTATTACTAACAGCTCATTATGCATTGTTCCATAGCCTAAAAGTTTCTTGAACCTAACCAGCCAATGTATGGTGGAAACGGCTACAAATAACATGTCAATGGTCTCTTTGTTATTACCCTAGTGTGAATGAATTGTGGTTGTGTGCGGTTGTCGGTAGGAGGGTTTTTTTATGGTCTTTCGAGTATTTTTCATTTTGTTATATGTGTTGTTTCCTCTAAGGGCCCCTATTTCATGGCTTGGCTGGATTGCTTAGAAAGGTGATATTACGGACGGCGCCAACGATGCTACGTCTCTTTCGTGATCGTTAATTATGGCTTGTGGCATGCATAACTAGTGCAGATAAACAAGAAACGTTAGGAACTATACCGAGGTTACCCATCGGTATTGCTCTCTGATGTTTAAGCTATCTATCAATTGCATTCTCATGTAATAAGGATTAACGATCTTCTTGGCAAAGAGTGAGTCTCAAGCTCTCTCTTTGACGATGTCTTGCTTTTATAGACCCATGTAGAAGAGCTGGAATGGGCCTTTAACTAGGTCTCTTGCAAGATCCGGGTAAAACAAGTTCTATGTTCGTGCTCGTAATGATTTGTTTACTGCACGTGTATATACCTTTCTTATTTTTTGGGATATGTTTGCTCAGGGTTATTAGCTAATGTGTATTGCTATAAGCTTGTGTATAATTTTCTAACCGGAAAAGTGATGCTTTGGATTGTTGCATCTAGTTATCCGGGTCGGTAATTTTAATATTCTTGACCCAGGTACACCATTAGAAATGATATTTGGCTACGCCTTAAAAAAATAAGGTTTTTATTTATTTTCTTACTAGTTACGACTTCAAAAACATCAAATAGAAAACCGTTCTTGTTTTTCTAAAAACATAAATCATTTTTTGGGATGTTTTTATTTGGGTTCCTTGATAATGTTAAGTCTTTGATCTAAATAGATTTAGAAAGAAAAATGATATTTGAAAAAATAGTTTTGCATTTGGTATGTACATAGTAACACAAAAAATTTAGTCAATTTGGTCATTTGGTTGAAAATTATGTGAAAAATATCATATTTTTCGAAGTAATTTTGTTTGTTATTAGCTTGTTGCTATTTATTTAAGAAATTTGACTATTCAAATAAAAGGTTTTTTTTAATAATTTGCTTACGACTTCAAAACGTCAGATAGAAAACTTTTATTTTTTTTCTAAAAACATAAAATCATTTTTTTGGGAAGTTTTTATTAGCTTGATTTCCTAATGGAACTGATTGTTTTCAATATCTCAAAAAAAACAATATTTTATATTATGGGTTGTTTTTTAATGAACTATTTCTAATTGTAAGATGTTGACTTTAAAGTTAGGTGTTCATCTCTTCACAATCATTGCAACTCATTGGTGAAAACAAAACCACCAACATTTAATTTTGTTGTATTAATGGTTATTCAAAGTTTTTCTATAATAGGTAAAACCATATTAAACCATGTCTTAAGATTACATTATATTTCATTTTGTTAATCATATAACACATCATATATAGCCATCTTTTGAATAAAAAATTAAAAAAATTGCATGTTATTTAATTTTATTAATCGTATATCAAACAAAATTTAGTAATTTATTAATGAAAGAAAATATTAAACATTATATGCTATTTAGTTTTCTTAATCATAAATCAAATCAAATGGAGTACTTTTTAAAGTAAAGAAGTTAAGAAATAAAAAAATAGAAAAATATTGAGGATAAATAGGCATCGTTGGCCAATTACTCCACTCTTGTGCCTTGGGATATCTTCATATCATTTCAACTCCAATAGAGAGAAAGAGAATGGGGAGAGCACCTTGTTGTGAGAAGATGGGATTGAAGAAAGGCCCATGGAGTCATGATGAAGACCAAATCCTCATTTCATACATACAACAACATGGTCATCCTAACTGGCGTGCTCTTCCGAAACATGCCGGTAAATATATCTTTTTATAACCCCATATGCATTACTTCTTGATCTTTTTCATAGAATTATTCATTTAGTTTCTCTAGTGAAGATTTTTCGGTTTGACAGTATACTGCCAGGTTCGGGAAAAGCACTTAATATGAGTACGTTAATGTTAATATTTCTCATAGAAACTGTCATACTATCTAGCTAGTATATGAGGATTTGAAGAACGTATAGAGTTGTTCAAATCCTCATTAACGATTTAGCTCCTTTCACATGCAAGAAAACTAATTTGACATATAGATGAAAACGAAAGAGAAAATCACAGTGTCAATCGTTCTCAGAAAAGATGCTGAGTTCATGAATATGACATGATACAACGATTGTGTTCTCTTTGCACATGAAAACATATTGAGTTGTTATGTTTTTCGTTGGTTGATTTAGCATTGAAATTTAGTTCATAAGTTTTAAAATCAAAGTGGGTTAGTGTTCACATTTTCGGTTTTAATTTGTTTTCATATTGTTGTTTTTTTTTTTTTTTCAGGTTTGTTAAGATGTGGAAAGAGTTGTAGACTTCGTTGGACCAATTATTTACGACCCGATATTAAGAGAGGAAACTTTAGTAGAGAAGAGGAAGACACCATCATTCATCTACATGAAATGCTTGGAAATAGGTACAACGGAGTCTTTCAATCTTAGTATCTTTAGTAAACAGTTATCACTTTTTTACCGTAAAAGACATCAAGCATGATGATAATACATTCATATAACATTTTGACTTATGGAGTCCGACTTAGATTTTGGTTTTCATTTATCTTGAAGCGTGATATTTGTGTATATTAATAATTTTTAAAAACATATTTGCTAATCAAATGTATTCAAGTGACTCAAGTCTATTCCTTTCATATGAAAAATACATTTTACGTTTATCATTTTAATCATATAAACCCAATAACGTCATGTACCAGAATTTTAAATAACAAACTTTAGATCCGCAGACATGATGATGACACAGTGAAAATAGTTTTTTGGATGGGCAATAAATTATTCAAATTGGCCATTGGCTACCACGAATCGCAATCCCGGTTTTCATGCTTCATTATTTAATTAGTTTCAGAATAAATAACTACACAACATGTATACTTTTAATTTCAAACCAACATATATGTACATGTGCCCAAGCATAAAATACGATTTTTTAACACATATTTCAAGAATGAGAGTATAAATAAAGAATAAGAAAAAGACAAAACGATTGGTACTTTTTATTTTGCACGTATTAGTCATTACTAAATATATAATTTTGAATACAAATTTGTGATGAAGCTTGGTTTTCTGTGATTTTTCCTTGATTTTATAGATGGTCTGTAATCGCAACGAATTTACCTGGCCGAACTGACAACGAAATAAAAAATGTTTGGCATACTTATTTGAAGAAAAGACTTGAAAGTCATGAGACAACCAGCCATGCCCCAAAAAGACATAACACCAAGTCCAAACGTGATTCAAGCAATCCAAATCCAGAAGAATCTATTGTTTCACAATGTCATGCCCAACCACAACAAAACTCCCATGACGAGGAACAACTAATCTATGTTCAACCATCGTGTAGCGAGTCTTCATCTGAAACAGAAACAACGACCAATTCATTTGATGTAGCTAAACATGAGGAAATCAAGCACGAGACATTTCTTGATGATAGTTTCTGGTCGGAAACATTATCTGGTGAGGGTGACGACATCATGGAATCTAATCCAACGACAAACATATCAAGTGTTGAGTTTTCATCGTCTCCACTCAAAATTATAGAGAATGAAGACATAAGACATCCATATGCTGATTGTCACATGGGTAGCATAGACCTATGGTACGACATTTTCACACGCATTGAGGAATTACCCGAGTTACCTGAGTTTTAGTTTAGATATCCATTTGTATTCTTGTTATGACCAAAATTAAGCACAAATGTTGTATCTTTGATATTCTCATAACGTAATATAAGTAAGAAATACATTTATGATAGAAAAATTGGCTCCTAACTTTTTTCTAATATATTACATAAATAATATGAATTTGAAATCTCATCATTACATAAGATGTTGAGTTTTCTTTGACCAATGGAGACAAAGTTGAATTGAATTCTTACGTAGTGGCAATTTTTAATGTTTTTTAATGTGACGTAGTATGTAAAAATCATTATAATTTAATTTGTATATTATATAAATAAAAACAATCTATAATGAATATTCTTCATTTGATTTTGGTAATTGTTTTAGAATATTAATGACATTGTTTATTTAAGATTCGACGTAAAAACTATATTTATATTATATTTAACTTTGAGGTGGAATTATATAAGAATGTATTTAGAAAATAAGGAAAATCCTAGAAAAAACCTAACTTATTAAACTTCAATACTCGAAAATAAAAACATTACGTTGTTTTTATATACGATAATTGAGAAATTATTATTTCTATGAAATGATAAAATATAAAAAAGAACAAAAAATGAACAAAACTATTTATACTCATAAAATATGAATATATATGTTATATATACAAATTAAATGCAGAGCCGTTCAAAACATATTTTGGACCCGATGCAAAAGGGAAAACAAAGTTCTTAAAATAAATAAATTTCATCAAGTTTTTATAGTAACTCAATAATTCAAAAAAAATTACTTTTACTAACTTCTATATATATATATATATATATATATATATATATATATATATATATATATATATATATAGATATATATATATATATATACTAGGTTTAAACCCGTTGATAAAAAAACTCTTAACCATAATAGGATATCATAATGGGTAATCAAATATTTGCAAAATTTTATTAATTACAACCATTGAAGTTTTGTCGGTAAGTACATTGTTATTTTTGGAAATTAACCATTTTAGTTAGCATTAAAAATGGTTTTCAAAATGGTTATTATTGCTATTTAAAATGGGAATTTACCACCATTGTACATTGTTGTAAAAGATAACATAATACCAACATTTTTTGCATTCAAAATCATAACCCTTTTACAAAGCCATCCAAAAGTAACACAAAAAAAAAACAACAAAAAAAATTAAGTAAGTGACGGTTGAGAAGCTCCTTCATGTCAACAATATGTGATAGTGATGCATTTGGTAAAACAAAATAAGTATCTAAAGATCATACACAATTTCAATAAATAGTACTTTAAAATACAAATATACCATCTTCAAGTTAAAACAAATCCACAATTCTTTACCATTGAAATTCCTTGAGCCAAATGCCATACAACATAAAGAAAATATAGAAACACACATTTAATCTGCAAAAAAATAAAACAAACTTATCAGGTTTTTCTAATGCACACATGTAGATCTAACATTATACATTAAAGGAATATACAATTCACAATTGGTTGGGAGACATAAAAGCCAAAAGCTAAATATGTCTACAAATTAATAAAATAATCATTAAAAGGGTCAATGGTGAGTTATTTTTCAAAAAGAAACATAACTAAAACTGTTTACCAAGATATCGTAGACGGACCTGAAAAGCATATTTGCAAGAACCACTACATGGTTAAAAAATTAAAACATTGATGCTCTTAGTAAAGTTAATAAAAATATACAAAAATCATGACATCTACAAAAAAATCATATGAGTCGCAAAAAGCCATGGTGAAATAATATCCATGGGCCTAATTCATCTCGTGCGCCCAATCACCTAAAGCATAATATAGAAAAATAACAATTCCAACGGTTGAAAAATGACTGTTTAGACAGTTATTTTTCCTATATCCACAGGTAATCAAAAGAGCATAATACAATCAACCTTACTAAAACAAGCAACATAAAAAATGATCAGGAATTCAAAAATATTATCAACAATATAGGAAAGGGTACTATTGAATTATGTTATACAATAGTCAAATTTAGTAGCAAAATCAATCTCGAACATAAATAACGTGACAGAACCCCATTTGTTGCATTTATCAATACATTTTATTAAACACGTACATCCTCCTCTTGAAGCTGAAACTCATATAAAACAGTAGGTTGAGAACTGTGAAACATTTTGAATAAAATCTCAATATAAATCCCTAAAATAAAAAATGCATAAGACTATGCACAACTACAATATTGTAACACTCGGATTCAAGTATTTTACCTTTTAGTCCTTGGGATAATGATTTTATTGCAAAAGAGGTCCCCTCGTATGTTGGGCGTACGTCTATGTACGCTTAGCGTACCTGGGCATGCGGAGTCGGGACAATGAGCCACGTACGCGGGCCGTACAAAGCCAATTGCTAAAACCCTAATTTTAGGGCATGACCCCTATTTAACCCCACTTATGACCTTTGCACCCTCACTCTTATCAGCCTCCACTGCCTTTGAACATCCCTAAAACCCTAGTTACTATTAAGAGTGATAAAAGCCAGAAGCTAAATATGTCTACAAATTAATAAAATAATCATTAAAAGGGTCAATGGTGACTTATTTTTCAAAAAGAAACATAACTAAAACTGTTTACCAAGATATCGTAGACGGACCTGAAAAGCAGATTTGCAAGAACTACTACATGGTTAAAAAATTAAAACATTGATGCTCTTAGTAAAGTTAATAAAAATATACAAAAATCATGACATTTACAAAAAAATCATATGAGTCGCAAAAAGCCATGGTGAAATAATATCCATGGGCCTAATTCATCTCGTGCGCCCAATCACCTAAAGCATAATATAGAAAAATAACAATTCCAAGGGTTGAAAAATGACTGTTTAGACAGTTATTTTTCCTATATCCACAGGTAATCAAAAGAGCATAATACAATCAACCTTACTAAAACAAGCAACATAAAAAATGATCAGGAATTCAAAAATATTATCAACAATATAGGAAAGGGTACTATTGAATTACGTTATACAATAGTCAAATTTAGTAGCAAAATCAATCTCGAACATAAATAACGTGACAGAACCCCATTTGTTGCATTTATCAATACATTTTATTAAACACGTACATCCTCCTCTTGAAGCTGAAACTCATATAAAACAGTAGGTTGAGAACTGTGAAACATTTTGAATAAAATCTCAATATAAATCCCTAAAATAAAAAATGCATAAGACTATGCACAACTACAATATTGTAACACTCGGATTCAGGTATGTTACCTTTTAGTCCTTGGGATAATGATTTTATTGCAAAAGAGGTCCCCTCGTATGTTGGGCGTACGTCTATGTACGCTTAGCGTACCTGGGCATGCGGAGTCGGGACAATGAGCCACGTACGCGGGCCGTACAAAGCCAATTGCTAAAACCCTAATTTTAGGGCATGAGCCCTATTTAACCCCACTTATGACCTGTGCACCCTCACTCTTATCAGGCTCCACTGCCTTTGAACATCCCTAAAACCCTAGTTACCATTAAGAGTGATATTTGAGCTTGAAAGTGACTTTAGTGGCCTTTTTGGTGTGTTTGCAAGAAGAAGAAGGTGGTGAGCAAGCCTTGGACGTGGTTGAGCTTCAAGATCCTGAATTTACTTCATCTTAGGAGGCTTTTTGGAGGTAAAAAGCTCATACCTTATTGATCCTTTTGATAGTTATAGTTAGGGTTTGTTCATAAGCTCATTTTTGGTCCATGGATTCTCCTTTGTGAGTTTGGGCAACTCCAGAAGCTAGAAATGCTAGATCTTAGTCCCTTTAGCATGTTAGAAGCATAAAAATGTTATCTTGGTGGTGGATATGAAGCCATGCATGAATCTTGGTCCTTTAAGTGAGCTTTTATGAACAAAAATGGATGTTGGACTCCCATGATACATGTTAAGTCATAAAGTTGCCAACTTTATGACCTAGGAACCTCTTAATGATCAAGATCTGGTAGTGAGCTTAAGTGACTGCATGGTTTAAGAACTCAATGGTTGAAGGTGTTGAGCATCGCTGTACGTTGAGCGTACCAAGGTGTATGCATCACGTATTGCTTGGCCGGCAAGTACGCTGAGTGTACTGGGATTATGTCGTGTGTACGCTCCTAGTGAGCTTTTGGACTTGTGATGGGCTTTTCGGTCATTTGGGACCTATTTGGTTTTAGGCCTTGATCTGTTTAGAGTAGGTGGCCCTTTGAATTTACTAATGGGCCTTAAGTGGCGTAGTTGGGCCTTTTGGGCCTTGGGGTCCGTTATTGCATTTGGGCTAGGAATAGTTAGGCCCATTAAGGGGAAAAACCATTTGAGCCCTTATTTTAGGAGTTTCGACTGAGGGCTTAGGCCCATGATTTAGGCCGTGACCAATTCTGATTAAGGCTAATTATTTGTGTAGTGTGGGATCTTCCTATTTAGCAGTCGAGCCTCTTGTTGTTTCCAGCAGACTGAGGTGAGTTTTTTCACTATATCAATGGGTTGAAGGCACCAACGCCGGCCCATTATTTGTTTATAGGATACAAATTACTTGTGTGTTATGTGTATCAAAGACCAGGGTTTGGCCCCTGGAACCTGTATGAAAGACCATGATATGGCCCCTAGCAGTTGCATGAAAGACCAGGATCTTTCCCCTGGAAATTGTATGGAAGACCGGGATTTGGCCATCGGCACGATTTATATATAAGACTATGGTTTGGCCCATAGCAGTAATTTGTATGTTAGTATGTGGTACTTTGTGGAAAAATTACTAAGTGTTTTCTTACAGATTTTGTTTATGGTTTCAGGTACCTCGGGTACTAAGGGGAAGGGCCCGACGTGATGGCACAACATTCTCTCCCGTTATTTCTGCATTTTGATATTGTATTGTGATGATGTGATTTTTATACATTATGATGGTTTTGGAACAATTTTATACTTGTAGTACTGGTTTTTTTAAAATGAAAAATTTTATCATGTTTTGGGGTTGTTACAAGTATTATTATCATTAATCTATGCAGTAAAAAATGAACTAACATCGCTCTATGTTCCAATTTCTAAAACTAAGCCTTTATC